TGTATACCAAATTTCATTTCAGTATGTTCAACCTCTGTGAAGAAAATGACAGACAGCAGCAAAGCAATATACCCTCCCTTCTCCGAAGGGGGCACAATTACGAGTTCTTTCTCCTTGTGACGGCACATTTTGTCGTTCTATACATACTGTCGCCGGCGATAATTTGAATCGATCCTCAGTGTACAAACTGTCGTCCATCCATACATTGACGCCGGCGACAATATGTGCCGAGACGAGCCTTTTCCCCATGTACCTCATGAAATATGAAGATAACGAACAATATTCAAACTCAGAGTCCATTAAAACAATACAAATCGGGAGCAGAGCAAACACGGACCTCCAAAAACATCAGAGATGGGATCATGTGCCATGGAGGAATGAGCATCCCCTACCGACCGATCACACCCGCCGTGTGCTCCTTGTCATGGTCGGTAAATAACGGAAAAATCCGTCGACAATTCTATGTGTAGATAATGACCTAACAATTAGTATGAAAAACGTCTGTTAGCATATGTCTTAGTGATAGATTGTATTTGCTGACAAGGTCATTGTATTGACCATAGAACTTACGAAATTATGATTTAAACGAGACGGTTGATATTCTTGTTTCATCAACTTGTTTATCAATAACTTACCTCGTTTTAGAAATTGTTCACACGTAGAGCATGTTCTTGGGTATCGAATCGACCGAGAGATGTACACCCCGTATGCAATTGATAAGGGTATATTCTGCAAACGTCAGGGAAGTTGACAATTGAAAAGTTAAAGTCATCACGTTTATCATAAAGCTTTGTTGTTAGATTACCATTAACGTCTTTTTCTAGTAAAATATCCAAATATAAAACAGTTGTGTCAGACTCTGTGGTATCTTTTATTTCAAGCTCACTGGGATTTATCATGTCGACATATGAATGGAAATAACTATTGTTAATTGATAATTATTATCAATTAACAATAGTTGTGCCGTCGATATATTTAAATGTCAAGTTGAAGGCCACAGCAAGAGATTTCTTTTTCTCATGTATAAGATTTTGAATGAATTCTGCTTAATATGAATACAAAATAGCTCTGCTAACAACGGGGCACAATTTGTAGCTATGGGAATTCCAACAGATTGTTAGAAGACCTGGTCTCCGAAAACCACATAGATATTGTCAGTAAGAAACCCAAGCATCTTTTTTAATATCAACTTCAGAGTACTTGTGTGTACAATCAGAATGTTTTTCAACAAAATAATTTTGCAAATGACCATTGACAAGGTAAGTAAATTAACGAGTTCCATATACCTTATACATCCTTATACATCGATTCACATTGTCGTCTAAGACGCTTTGGATTGAGAACATTCGCACACTTCATCGCCATTTCTAATTATTGCAAAGAATAATTTACTGGGGTCACGTAGAGAGAGTGGGGGTCTCAGAGAGAGAGAGAGAGAGAGTTTCGGTTAGATGTATATGAAATATAAAATTTCATGGAGTTTCTTTTGAGTTTAAAATGACAATTGTATATACAGAGAAGCATTTGATTTTTCTTTTCGTGAACATGCCATCTCACAAATACTGTAGATATGATTTTTTGATATCATCGTCTTCATCGCCCTGAAGGTGAGGATACAATATGTGCATTGAGTGGAGCCACACATTGTCGCCGGCTACAATTGTATAATTTTGCAGCGGATGACAATATGTGCCGATAGACGACAATATGTGCAGTAAGGATAGGTGCATATTGTTGCCGACATATGTACATAATGACAAACTATACCGCCACACCCCCTTACCCCAGTAACACATTCTGAAAACGGTACTTTTGCCCACAAAATGCGCTCACAATGCATATTGTCGTTGACGGTATGTAAGGTGCATTTTGTCGCTCGTTCTGCAGAGACGAAAAAAAAGGTTCATCTCGACCCATACTGTCGCTAGTTTCAACTCCAAAAATTTGAAAAGAACTTGAACATGAAAAATTTAGTCATGACGTGAAAAAAAGAAAAGCATACATTACAAATGCCATCTCTTTAGAAATAAAAATTCTGAAGGGGTTTGATGGGGTGTTCCGGGCATCTCGAAACTTCCCCCTCGGCTAATGTTTTTCTACCATAGTGTTTATTCTTCTCAAATTTGAAGCATATGCTATAATTAAAAAAAAACATATTATCTAAAAGGAAGGGGAGGGAATTTGGTTAAGTTTCATTTGTTCTATTTTTCCAGCAAAACATATTTGTTAATGCAAATAATGAAACAAAACACATTACTACACAAATAGAGGATTGCCATTTAGTTGTTTGCGATCTTCAGAAACCAATTGGTTAATAGCTCCCCTGCTTCCCTGACGTCATTTAGAATAATTATTTGCCATTTATTGATTATTATTTCTTATCTTAGAGGACTTAATCTTTCATGTCCACTTTAATTTGACACTTTTTTTCTCAAAATTTCAGGGTTTTCCGCTCTTCGTAAAGCACAGGAGTTAAATTTCCATAAAAATTTGTAAAAACAAAGCAGAAAGTTTAATAAATTAAAATACAATGAATAAAAAGAAACTAAATTAAGGCACGATATATGCCATTGGGATTTTTTCAGTGTTACATGCCAGTTTTCCAGGGGAAAGGCTACTATACAACAAAATTTAATTTTATTCTTTCATATTTTATAACTTAGGACATCTGCATTGTCACCCTCCAGCGTTTATAAGCTTTGAATTTGTTTAACTAAGTCTAATTCCACAATTAGGAGTTAATATGCAATGTTCGAGTACTATAATTTCAAAAACAATCGATGTTTAAAAATGTAAAAGCATTTTGTCTACTACTTATTATAACCGTTCACGGTAGATCAGTCGGTAGAACGCTCGCTCCGTGATCGGGAGGTCATGAGTTCGAATCTCGGCCGCGACTGACCTAAGTCGATAAACCAGAAGTCTCTGATGAGACTGTGCCTCTACTAGTCTGTTCATATAAGAAAGTAGCACTTGGATTTGAAACTTTGCAACATGCAACAACTAATGCTCTAAATTATTCATCGAAATCTAAAAAAAAAAAACACGATGCACTAAATTATTTATCAAATTGAAGTCCACTTGTGTGCCAAGTTATATTGAAATCAGACCAAAACTGTAGGAGGAGTAGCGTTTTAAAGGAATTTCACAGAAATTTCTATTTTTAGTTACCATGGCAACACTGTTCATCGAAATCAAAAACCGATGCACTAAATTATGTATGCTAGTGAAGTCTACTTGTGTGCCAACTTATATTGAAATCAGACCAAAACTGTAGGAAGAGTGGCGTTTTAAAGGAATTTCACAGAAATTTCTATTTTTAGTAACCAAGGCAACACCTTTCATTGAAATAAAAAACCAAGCACTAAATTATGTACCTTTGTGTAGTCTACTTGTGTGCCAAGTTATATTGAAATCAGACCAAAACTGTAGGAGGAGGAGAGTTTTAAAGGAATTTCACAGAAATTTCTATTTTTAGAAACCATGGCAACACCGTTCATCGAAATCAAAAACCGATGCACTAAATTATGTATCTTAGTGTAGTCTACTTGTGTGCCAAGTTATATTGAAATCAGATCAAAACTGTAGGAGGAGTAGCGTTTTGAAAAAAATTGTTTACAGACAGACGGACAGCTAGACAGACGGACGGACACCATACTTCCGCATAAGCTCTTCTGCTCTCTGACCAGTAGAGCTAAAAATGGGTAGCAACTGTCCCTTCGCCATGCGCTCGGCTATTTGAAGTGAAAGTTGTGGGTCCTTCGGATGAGACCTTAAAAACCGAGGCCCCGTATCACGGCAGGCGTTGGCACGGAAAATATCCCTCCCTGCTTAATGGCCCTGAGTGCCGAGTAAAGATCAAAATTTGAAGCCCTTTACGGGTATATGGTGACCTCTCTATATGAGTGAAAGATTCTCGAATGGGACGATAAATGACATACAATCAATCTACTACTTATTAATGAATTGATTTTGTGGAGCTCAACTGTAAATACGTCAAAACTCAGAAATTCATTGTTCGTATTAAGTAGAAGCACAGTTGTAAAGATTCAAAATTACATGGCAATTGCATGCATGTTTACAAAGCTATCTTAGGATTAAGAAACGTCCTAAGATATACTTAGGCTTCATTTCACTTCTTAGCGCGGTTTTAGGCATCTTTGTCTAGGACGACCCTAAGTCAGCTTTGACTTACCTACCTACGTTTGTCTTATGATCATTCTAAAATTTTCCTATGATTATTCTTAAGAACTTATGACAATTCTTAGGAAAGTTTCATAAACATGCGTGCAGAACCCTTGAATTTCAGAAGCCTCTCTGTCCTGCTAGGGACCTTCAGGTGGCCAGACCACAGGGACCTGTTTCTGTAATATCTTTTAACTAGTATAATAAAAACACAAAGTATTTAACTCCGAATTACATTGAGTACCCCCTCCCAAGAATCGCACTTATTTACACTTTCAGAGAAAATGCACTGGCAAACTGTTTATTATCTACGATAATTTATCTTCACAACCATATATGGCATGCTCATCTTTAATTCCTTTTATCTCCATACTCTGCTCGCCCACGGGAAAATTTGTCTCAACCACAATAGATACCTTGTGTATACTAGGGTTTAAAAGATTATTACAGAAATAAGTGTCTGTGGGCCGGACCTCTAGCTAGCTCGTTAGTATTTTGAAAATTCTGCTATCTTCTCTACTGAAAGTTAGTAATTAAATGTTATATTTTGTTAGTTTTCAATACGTTTCTGGATCATCTTTCCTTCGGAATACCTTTTACTTTTCACATTTCATTGTTCTCAATATGTATCATTATAATTGGTGGTCCCTTTACCAATAAATTTCATAAGTTCTTTTCTGAGAAAAAATTAATAATTAAGGAAATGCTCATTCAAGATTCAAGGTTATCTGAGCTCAAATGCATAGTTTCTACACAACCTAAATGAGGTTACCATAATTAAAGACAAATAATGCAACAATATACTCATCATTTATTTAAATGCATTTTGAAAATTTTTGGGAAAAAATCTACCAAACAAAAACAAAATAGTTGGCATCTAGTATATATTTGTCTTTTTTTTTTTCAACATGCTCTTATCATATTGGGATAGGATGAGGCATGGATCTGTAAAATAAACTCATTTCATAAATGCATGTACATTGAAAACTTATCTACATCAGATCATGACAACATTGTTAAAAGACTGATAAGGTCTTTTCAACAAATTAAATTTTCATCTCCCAAAGATGTTTTGGTCCAGTGGTTCTAGAGAACAAATCAAAATTTTGAACTGGACAAAAAGCACATTGCAGTACATCACTTGAGTGACCCAGGTGACTTAAAAATATTTACCATCATGCACTAAGCTAGCTGTCTTAATGCATATATTTAAATCAAAATTTTAAAGATAGAAGTTGACTGTACAATATTAGCATTTGTGACCTCAACCTTGTCTAAATGATTTTGACTCTGGGTAATGTGATGATTTACACCAGTACTTGTAAACTAACAAGATATTATACTTCAAGAGCCTATAACCTTGACTTTTAATTTGCAATATAGCCTTCAATTAAACCATCAAGATAAAAAGCTATCAGTAACAGTAGCAACATTTCTGGGCATGAAATTTACTTAGTAAAAATATCACAAAGTACATTTTTTTTAATTACAAAGTAACATTTCTGAAAAGAAATTTACAATTTACATGGTTCCTCTAAAACAAATCTTGGAAGGCAGGATTACAGTAGAAGCACAAATTTTCGTGTGGATAAAATTTCACTGAATTGTCATCTATAAAGGTTTTCGTGGGCATTAAATTTCGTTGTTTTGAGTGTAACTCTATTCATTACATATAGTCATATAAAATTTTCATGAGGGATTTAATTTCGTTGATAACTGTTAACAACGACATAAACGAAATTTAATCCCAAACGAATATTTCTGCTTTTACAGTATATAAACAGCATTTTTACCTGTGTGCTTTCAGCTGAGCTGGTGGTGAAACCAGTTTTTCTGGAAAAGAAAAATTAAATAGATGTGTAGGTGATCTATGGGGTACATGTACATCACTCACATAAGAGCAAGAAAGGGAATTTGTGATTTTAAGGATAATAAACACAGAACCTGGGAAAATAAGGCATGAGTGTCTATGATTTTGATATAAATAAAATAATGATTCTTTCCCTGGTTTAGTGTCTTTCTAAGTCAAGTTTAATTGCAATTGGATGAAACTGTAGCAGGAGTTGCATTTTGAAGAATTTCACAGAATTTTTTATTTTTAGTAACCATGGTAACACTGTTATGTACCTGATTGTAGTTTTCTTGTGTATCAAGTTATATTGTGATCGGACTAAAACTGTAGTACTAGTGTTTTGAAAGAATTTCACAGAAATTTTTATGTTTAGTAACCATGGCAACAAAGTTCACCAGAATCAAAAACTGATAAAAAAAAAAGTTATGTATCTTAGTGTAGTCAACTGTGCCCAGTTATATCGATTGATTGTATGTTGTTTTACTTCCTGTTCGAGAATTTTTCACTCAAATAGAGATGTCACCATATATCAGTGAAGCCAAAGGGACTTGAGACAATTTTAGCAATATCGGGTATACAGTATAATATATTATTATATACTATTATATGATATACCTGATTTTGCTAAGATTGTCTCAAGTCCCTATGAGTGAAGCTAGGGCTTCAAATTCAGACCTTTACTCAACACTCAGGGCCATTGAGAAGTGAGGGTTCTTTATCTTGCCAACGCCTACCGTGAGATGGGGCCTCGGTTTTAGGGTCTCATCCGAGGGTCATGATTGGAACAAACTTGAATCTACCTAAACTTCCTGAGGATGCTTCCATATCAATATGACACATCAAAGCTTTAAGAAGAAGATTTTTCCTATATATTCCTATGTAAAACTTTGATCCCCCATTGTGGCCCCAACCTACCCCCAGGGTCATGATTTGAAAAAATTGAAGCTACACTATGTAATGAAAGTTTCACATAAGTTTCAACTTTCCTGGCTTAATGGTTCTTGAGAAGAAGATTTTTGAAAGATGACACCAAATTTTCACTATTTCTTAATTATCTCCCTTTAAAAGAGGGTGTGGCTCTTCATTTGAACAAAATCGAATCCCCCTTAAACCAAGCATGTTTTGTGGCAAGTTTGGTTGAAATAAGTACAGTAGTTCTTGGGATGAAATAGAAAATGTGAAAAGTTTACGAACAGACAGACAGACAGATGAATGCCAGACAAAATGTGATCAGAAAAGCTTTCATTAATAGAGTTAATTGGGAGCAGAGCGGAAAGAAAACCCTTAGCTAGCGAAGTTGGTCAAAATTTGACATAGTACAAAGGAAAAATGTCAGAAAAGCTCACTTCACCACACGGCTCCAGTTAACTAATAGTTCTTTCTGCAATTTTCAAAAAAATTTAACACAGTTTTTGCATCATCTAACATTTATGGTATAAAATAAGTTATTGTATAGAAATGCTATCAAAACAAATTGTAAAACCCATCCACACTCATGTATTATCTTAAATTATTTTTCAAATTATATAAGGGCTTTTCACATTAATCATACTAAATAACAAACATTTTACCTTGAATGTCCTTATAAGGTGATGTTTGTGCCTAAAATGTATGATATATTCATTAATCAAGCTCTTCCAATGTCTCTTATTTTAAAGTAGATTTTGTTAAAATATTTTTTATTCGAAAGAAAATGCAACATGTTTTCCAATGTTTGACAACACCTCTGTATTTTCCACTTTTGTTTTACACACATGTACCTGATTCCTTGGATAACTTTGGTTTTCCGAATGTTCCATTGGAGAATGTCTAAAAATGAAAATCACAGAAAATACACCTTTAATAACTTATATACAATGATTTCTAATCCATTGAAAAGAAAATCAATAAGGATTTAGCCAGACACATGCATCAAACACCTGTTGTTTTGTGGACATGAGAATACAAGTACATGTATTTAGAAAATTCTCAAAGATGAAAAAAATTACTTCGATCATTTTTTGTCCCCCGCTTTTACTGAAAGTTGGGGATATTAATTTGGGTCTGTCTGTCCGTCCGTCTGTCTGTCCGTCTGTATTTCTGTCTGTAACACTTTTGTTTCCACGCGATATCTCGAGAACCCTTTGAGCTTTTGCAATGAAATTTTACATAACAACTCCCTGTGGCCTAAGGAAGACTCCTATTGATTCTGAGGTCAAAAGGTCAAAGTTCAAGGTCGAAAATTTATAAATTCCGTCTGTGTGTAACACTTTCGTTTCCAGGCGATATCTCAAGAAGCTTTTGAGCTTTTGTAATGAAATTTTATACCATATCTCCCTATGGCCTCTCTTGCCCCTCGCCAAGTGTCCCGCCCCGTTTTTTTTCATTTATTTATTTATTGTATTAAAAGTCGCTTGGCACTACTTTTAGCACAGGGGCATGTCGAGATTTATTATGTATAATATAGGTTGTCAGCGGACTTTATATTCTAATTACATCTATTAGAACTGTTTAGTAAAGACTAAATTAAACAACATTTATTGTGTAAAATTTTGACAATATCAAATGTGAACATAAACATTATATGTGACTTAATGTTTGCATTTAATTCCCTGTATAATCAAGTGCCTCCGTGGTCTAGTGGTATGTTGCTCGCTTTGCAAGCGAAAGGTCCTGGTTCAAACCTGGATGATTCTTTTTTTAAATGTTTTTTTTTTGATTTACTAAATGATACTATTCAACATGTGGAATGAAAAAAGTTATGATGTCTGGCGTGTACAAACTCATAAAATCATTATTACAGTGTGATAAATATTCTGTATATAGTATATTTAAAAAGAATCTTCTATACACATATTAAAGAATAAGCAATCAAATCTTTATATCCATACTGGCTTTTTTTTGCTTCAATATACATGTATACATTTAATAATTCTACAAATACAGGGGGGCAGTGTGACCCCTCCTCCCCCGAACTGCGCATGCTCTTCTTTTTTCCCTAAGCAGGGGACACCAATTCTCTGAATTAGCTTGTTCTGGAAATGTTTTGCTGAAATGTATAACTATTTATGTGAAACCTATAGTCCCCTCGGATTTCACCGGTAGGGGACTGATAAATAAATATTTTGAATAACATAAAATATCTGATGAAAATTACAATTTAAATAAACTTCATACATAATAAAGATCCGAGGTACTCGAAATGAAAAGTACAGAGATGTTCCGGAAAGGTGAAATAAAGGATGTGATAAAAGGTGAAACATTTACACAAAAAATGAACTGAAAAAATTCAGTTAAACCTTTCAACTGGAGTTTAGTATCAGAAATGTTTTAATGTGTTAAGAAAGTAGATGTGGATTTTGTATTTCTAGAAATGATAAACTGCATAATTTGCATTATTATATATTTGTTACATAATACATGATTTATGCATCCCTGATATGAACACGGGCACGCGCTCTGCAGTACACTCCCTGTATCAGCATCCTTTATTTCACCCTTTATCACATCCTTTATTTCACCTTTCCGGAACATCTCTGTACTTTTCATTTCGAGTACCTCGGATCTTTATTATGTATGAAGTTTATTTAAATTGTAATTTTCATCAGATATTTTATGTTATTCAAAATATTTATTTATCAGTCCCCTACCGGTGAAACCCGAGGGGACTATAGGTTTCCTCCGAGTCTGTCCATCAGTCTGTCTAGCTGTCTGTTTGTCAATCTGTCTGTCCCTCTGTCTGTCTGTCCCACTTGGTTTTCCAAACTTTTTTTCTAAATGCTTGCAGATATTGAGCTGACGTTTGGTATATGAGTGTATCTTGATGAGTAACAGATCAAGTTTGCATTTCGTTCCGCTTTTATGATTTTTGAAATTTTACGACCTTTTCAATTTTTCAGGGTTTACTGCAATTTTTTTCTAAACGCTTGCAGATATTGAGCTGATTTTTGGTATGTGACTTAACCTTGATGAGTTATAGATCAAGTTTGCATTTCATCCTGCTTCACTGATTTTTGACGGAATTATGGCATTTTCAATTTTTAGCGGGAACCAGATTACACTTGCCCGTAGGGGACTAGTATTGCTAATGCAATACTCTTAGAATGTTTAATTTTTAATTATTTCATTTCTTATCGCTGAATGCATTGCCTTTGAAAAAAAATACCGGTAATATTAGAAACGGAAATTCAACAAAAAACAGAGGGCATTCAGTCATTTTAAAAAAAAATTCCGGGATAAATTTACAATTTTACATATGATTTTTCAAATATATAATAAAAACAACAATACATGACAAAACCTGTATCACACCCCATATCAACCCTTGACCAATATCAGCCCTCTGGCCTTTGGCCCTCAGGCTGATATTGGAGTCTCGGGTTGATATGAGGTCTGATACAGATTTTGCCATGTATTAATTTCTCTATTTTTTGTTTTCACTGACCCTTCAACTTCAGTTAGGATATCAAAAAATTGAAGAGGTGACTAACAGACTGTACAGGTACCTATAGGGAGGGAAATTAATACAGCATAATGTGTTTATTCCCATTCAGATCCAAGTCCTGTTATATAGATCAATAGATAGTTTTCCATCGAAGCAATGTAAGCAAAAGTTATTTCCCCATGACCACCATATTCCATAGGTCAACATGCTCAGATTCCAGCCTTCATTATTCAACCAAAGTGAATGTGTTATTTAGGGCACTGAGATGAAGATAACTGTTTTTCCTATGAAGATACATTTGTTAAAGTATCTTTTAATTCCTGATTTTAATATTGTAAAATTTTTTCCCATATATTTCTGCCATACATGTTTAAAACTGGATGCTCAAAGAGGAAAATTCACTATTTTGACCTACTAAATGAGGACCAAGGGGATTAACTCCGAGGCAGAATACATCATAGGAAAACCATCTTTATATTGAAATAAACTTGAATCTGAATAGAAAACACCTTAATTGTGCTGTGTCAATTTTCCCTCCTAAGACAAAAAGCCTATTAAATGTTAAAAGAAGAACACTGATGTCCATATTGCATATTTTAAAACATATTTGAACTTGCCACCTGAGTATTTCTTTTTGTTTGAATAATGGAATAACTTTTGAATAACAATTTACGCTATTGAAAGATTGAAAACAATTAACTCTGTGTTTGTTTAGGCATTGGTGGTTTTATTAGACCAGGCAAATGACTTAAATTGATTTTAAATAGCTGTCCAGACAGTCTGGGATAAATTATGTCATTATCATCAAATATAAATCAAAAGTTAATTAATAATAGAAAATTGAAAAAAAATAAAAATAAAAATATCTTATAACAATACAAAAGATATTTAAAGAAAAGAAGCCCATGGGCCTTGACAGTCACCTGAGTATCATGAGTTTCTCAGGCAATATGACAACTTTGGGCCCTCCTGGAACTGGTCTTACGTGACAAAAATTTTACCATTTAGTGAGGACTAAAGACTCCATTATTATTATCACATTTATGCAGCTTATCTGCTAGAAGTCCAGGAGTAAAAAGATAAGGAACACTGTATAATACATTCCAATACCAAAGATTCCTTTTTTATGCAAGTACTTCATATTTACTCAGTGAAATTTATGCAGCTTATCTGCTAGAAGTCCAGGAGTAAAAAGATAATTTTTGCCCTCTTTGCCAAATCTAAAATGGGATGAATTTAAAGAAAACAGTACTATCACTTACACACAACTGTTTCTGGACAAATTTAAATTGGGGCAAAATTGCAATTGTGAAAGGGTAAAATAATATGGGGCAAAAATAACCCTGTATACAGTATTTTCAATACATAACCAACTATGCCAAACCCTAAGCCCTAAACCAAAGACCCTGGGGCCAGGAGTTTCACAATTTTGATACAAGATTGTGTACTCATTACAATTATGTAAACGGTTTGCCTGAAAGATTCCATGAGAAAAGAGGTTTTAGAGGACATAATGAATTTTTAATATAAGAGCAGTTTAGCCTCATCCTGGAGCCTGAGCCCTTACCCCAGGGACCATGAATATCAAAATTCTGGTAAAGGGCTTATTGCTTATTATAGTCCTGCCAATATTTTGACTGCTTGATGTCCAGGAGAAGACTATTTTTGAAGACAGCTAGTACATCTATTAATTTTGATGGTTTTAATGCCATCCTTTGGGCCTTAGGGAGGCAGAGACCAAGAAATTCATAATTTTTATTCCCAAAATTGGTTGCAATTGGGTCAGTCATTCCAAAAAAGCTGAAAATGTTCAAATGTTAAAATACAAAAACAGCAATACATTACCTAGAACCCACCAAAATGGTATCTGATTACATACATAAAATTTCTGGCTTAAGAAGGGGTTCTCTCCTACATCTTTCCTCTACTTTGCCCTTATCTAAACAATGAAGTTCATGCTTTTCCCCTCCAATGACCACAAAACACCATTATTTTTGCCATTCCAATAAACACATATTGCTGTAACAATTTTTTTTTGCAAAATTATTGCTGCCCCCTGCTTTGATGCCCTTGAGGTGTGGGTTTTGACTTTGTTTAATATTTATTGACCTTTAAAATGTCAAGGAAGATTATTTTTGAAAATCATAAAACAATTTTAAAAAGTAATCAGAAAATAATGATGATTAAAGTAAAAATTTAGTTACAGCTGATTACCACATGTTTGATGATCCAAAGTCTCACAGTGTGAAAGATGTATATGATGCACTCACACTGACACAAAAAAGCTATCAGACCAGCAGACATTATTATGAATGGACAGGAAAGTTAACATAGTCCATGATACACTGGCTCAAAAAATGGGCATATAAAACCTGACATATCAAATTGTGTATCTTTGTTTAATCTAGTTGTACACCATATTTTCATTGAAATTTGTCCAAAACTTTAAGAGTGGTAGCATTTTGAAAAGAAAAAATACAGACACACAGACAAATGGATGCACCACCTCATAAGCTCTTCTGGTCTTTGACCAATGACCAGTGCAAAATAAAAATAAAAGTATAGTTCATTTTTTCTCAAAAAAATTATCCCTTAAATTTTGACATTTTTATCAAAATCATTCAATATACAAGCCTGTTGTTACACAATATTATTTTGTCATCAAAAGACCTTGAATATCCACACATGACACTATTTACAAGAATGGGTGACCCCTGCTAGCTATAGGTGACCACCCTTTCGTGTGACATGGATCCTGTTTTTAGCCCTATTCATACCAGTATTTTTATGTAAATGGTGTTTTTCTGATGCTCACCATTGTTTTGCTTCCATTCATGGTTACAACTGTCAAGGTCACTAAACTGCATTTCAACTAACCCTATTTGCTTTTTATTTAATTTCATTTTTAGCAATGATACCTGAGTATCAGATTTTTGTTTTCAGAATAGTCATAACCTAGCTTGACTTAGAAGAAAAAATATACTTGTATGTCAAATATTTTACTCTCACAAAGAACATGTACATGTATTTGCAGTAAAGGGACCATATCACTTTAATAAATAAAATATTATTAACCAAAAAAATGGGGGGGGGGAGGGGGGGATGTATGCCATGAAATTGTGAGACAGCTAAATCAAAATAATATTAAAGCAAGACATTAAAAGAATTTAGTATACCTTTAGCTTGTACAGTATACAAGAATCAAATTATCAAGTTAACCCACCTGATTGACTCCACTCTCACTTGGCCAGAACTTTATGAAACCAAAAAATATCAAAAATACATAATAGCTAAAAGAGATAGAATTATCAAAATGAAACATTACCAAATAGACAAACTTCATAACTATACATAAGTATAAAAATAAATTTTATCATTGACTAGGATTAAAAAAATCAGAATGTTGATGTTTGCATTGAGTGTTAATTACCTTCTTTGCAACTCTGTTGCACTTCTGCTTTGAGATGGTGGAGTTCTGGACGCTTCTGTGATAACAAGTGTTTTTATTTGAAATTCTCTCAACACAGATAAATGGGAATTTGGATTACTTGGGAATACAAAATATTCATGAACTTAGGAAAGATATGAATATTAAGTACCTCTGGGGTCCATTGAGGGTGAAATCCTGCTTGCTCCACGGCCCTGCCTAACACCAACCTACACAGCATTGCAATTTTAAAGTAAACCTGCATGTGTACAATAACTAGTATTTAACAACAAATGCTCAAAATTTACAAGAAAAACCCTTAGGCTATCTGAGAATTAAGAAACTGAGGTTAAAAACTTAAAAAATACATTGTTGTTCAAGATATGGAAGTTCAATTATATATATAACAATACAAGCATCACGGAAACCTAAGCTCCGGCCTTTACAATAAGTTAATATATTTTCCTATCAGAAAATTGGTTCAAAAATATTAAATATTTAAAGTTTAAATCCAGATGCATTAACCTTGGATGTACACTTTATGTCCAAGCAGGCATGATATGGTCATTCTTGGCCAATCTTGGAAAGAAAGCATGAGTGGTGCAAAATATGTTCCACAGGACATCACATCATTAAAAGGACTTACCTGTGCATAACTCTCAAAGCAGTCCTGTACCTTTGGGGAGTCTCTGAAAGTGGACAGTATAAATAAAACATTTGTTAAAATAGAAAAAAAAAACAAAAACAAAAAAAAAATCAAGATGAAAAAGCATCAAGAAGAAAAAAATATGCTAGTAAATATGCCAAAATTAACATATATCATAGACATATAAATATAAATAACTTTTTTTTATATTAGGCTTGCATAGCTATATATATGTATACTTAACTGCATAAAATCCTTAATTTTATAAATTAGATATTTGTGAAATATGCTGAATTTATGTGCTTTCTTGAAAACATCAAATTGGTAATGTATAAGAAAACTGCATCTTGTCTTTGAAATAATCATACCAGTGAAATTTCATATGTAATTTTGCCAACTTCTTGCAGTGACCTGCACATGTACATTTGTATAATCTTTCTAATACAGCAAACAGTTTTTATACCTTTTAGCATAAGGGGTTTGTGCTAAGGATATTGGATGAGGAACACTTCTACAACAAAAAATATTTGATTATATTATGATTATATAGCAAAAAATCAACATACCTGGTAATTCTTTTATACATGCAATACAAGTTGAAACTGAAATATCCAAAAACAAGGTAGAAAGCTAGCTATGAAAACTTCCTGATTAAAATTCTGACCTTGGTGACACCCTCTTTAATTCCTGACTTGGTGGTGTCTTACTCTTGACACCAAATGGTGGTGTGTTGCCTACTAGTAAAAGAAAAAAGGTACTTGTTGATTTAGATTTGTATTGAAATAATGCAACTCTGAAATATTTAAAAACTTTAGCACAATGGGTGGGGGGAGGGGAAGGGGGATGTATGTTACAAAAAAAATGATAAGTTGGTTTGAACATATTTTATTGTAATTTATGAATACAATGGGATTGGGCACAAGTTCTGAAAACTTATTAAGCCCTCTCCCTAAGTTCATTGATTTATGCAGTTCTATGCTATATAAGAGTAACTTTTATGCCAGATCAAAAGACAGTTGTGATTTTCTTACATTTTTGACGGTCAAGGTAGGGTGGGGTGGTTCTCATTCCATACTTTGGATTTACCTGTTTAATAAAGAAAGAACATGAATATATAATAATTTGTTGGTGTATTGAGACATTTTTAGACAAAAAATTAAAAGTGTATGTTCTCTTAAACTTACATAATTGGGACCAATAACTGCTGTACCATTTCTTGGAGCTGTTTGAGGGGAATTTCTGCAAAAAGCCTTTCAGAGTGTAAATCTTGTACTTCCATCAAAGCACGATCATTAATTATTTCATTTTTTTCAAAGAGCAATTTTTTGGTCAATTTAAGAAATGCACACTTTACAGTAAATTAAATATTTCAGACACAAATTAATACAGATAACATTTTATATACGGTAATAATATTCTATTTCTTCAGCTGGATTGAATTGAGTGCTACTGTCTACAAAAACATTAATTAATATTTTATAACAAAAAGCAATAATCAAAAAATAAGTTAAAAAAATACAACAATACAACTGGGAAAAAAAAAGAAAACAATATACATAATTGAAAACAATTCAAAAAACATGTACAGTACGTATGTCTTACTTGTTTGAGTTGACCTCCACGGGGTTATAATGTTGCTGAGAATTCTTTTAATAAATGGAATCATTTAAAAGCAAAGAAATTGGAAAAGAAGGAATTAAAAACTATACTCTGAAAAATGCTGGTACTTTTAGGCACCTAATGCACATTACCTAATGGGCTTTTTAATTTAATAGTATATTCTTTTACTGATTTTGTTATCAACATGGTATGTACTTCATAAGATGTGTTAGATAATTCAGACGTTTAGGACAATTTTATTTGTTGAATGGTTCCACTATTGTAAAAAGTGTAGAACAGGTAATTTGATCAATTCCCATGCATTACTCCAGACATTGGCACAAGTTATCATGAAAAGGAGGTCAAAATTGGTGTCATTTAAAAAATTAAAATCATCAGACTGCCTTTATTACTCAGTCGGCTCTTGGGATTTTTCCCTCTATACAACTATAAAGTCTACTTCCTGTCTTTGGTGTATCCATGGTAACAATAGCTGTTAACAAATCTGCCCTTGTGATACAGTGTTATAACCCTTACTTACTAGTTCTTTCAGAGCTCTCTTTAAGTAAGCAATTTCTTCTTTTGAATTTGTAAGTTCTCTAAAAAAAAATATGAAACAAAATAAAACAATTAATACATGTTTAGATATGGTGAAGAATAAACAGCTTTGGATTTTCTTAAATGATACAAATTTGGCTATCTGGTACATTAGTTAGCTTAATAGTTGGCTAGTTAAGCATGTTTCTCTTCCCTTTTTCAGAGACTTGGGGATCATATTTGCTATAGGACTTGGCAAGCCTCATCCTAGAAAGTGTATAAATATATACACACACATGTACTTACACCCACCCCTTATAGGTACATCAAAATGTACAAGTAGTGGATCTAATACCCCCCCCCCCCCTTTTTTTTCTTATTGTTCCAAGTACCACTGGTGCTTGTTGGAAAACCCAAACTTGGTTTATAGTGTTCTGAAACCTTTTTACTTTTGAAAATTACTTTAGAGGTTTGGCATTATGAAGTTGTATTTTTTTTAAAAAGATACTGAATTAAAAAGCATTATTTTAATAAAATTAATTCATCTCTACTTTGATTTTATTACTCCTGAAATCAATTCTTACTTTTCAAGTTCTTGGGTGTATTTGTACATTTTCTGAGCTTTCTCCATAAATTCTTTCTGCTTACTCATCTAAAGGAAACATTTTATGTAAAATTTTAGTTATGATTCAGACTTTTACAAATGATTTCTAAATGTATGCCAGAAATTTATTATCACATAATTTTGCTAGAAGCATCAATTGCAAAATAAAATTACTTACTTTTATCACATGTATACTCCTTTATACAGTGGATATAGCTCATAGGATATTGTTTTCCTATTTACAGTTGTGACATCACAATTATGGTTTTTTTGCATGAATTTTGTGAAGTCAAATATTGTTGATTTACTTACATAAAACAGTGTAAAACATATCAAGTCTTTTTTGAAGTCATCATTTTGCAAGTTTTATGACCTTGTCAACAAATACAACCTATCATTAAGTCAAATGCTGACTGACATTTTTCATACTAATTGTTAGGCAATTATTTACATGCTGAATTGTCTATGGATTTTTCATTTTTCCCAGATCATGACAAGGAACACACGGCTGGTGTGAATGGTCGGCAGGGGATGCTCACTCCTCCATGGCACCTGATCCAACCCCTGATGTTTTTGGGGGTCCGTGTTTGCTCTGCTCCCAATTTGTATTGTTTAAATGGACTTTGAGCTTGAAAACTGTTCATTATCTCCATATTTCATGAAATAGCTATGTGTAAAACATGTGATGTGATAAAAAGAATCTCCCATGGTTTTTGGTAGATAGGATTTTTTTATCCAACTCTTTGTGTGTTTTTATCCCCTCACCAAGGCTTGGTGTCGTTGGATAAAAAATCATATCCAACCACAAACCATGGGAGATCCTACATTTATTTAGTGTTGCTGATACACATGCTAAACTCTTCAATTCAACAGTCCACTTTCTAATTTTCTTGCAACTTGCGATGCCTAAGAGTCATTTTGCAAAACAAAGTACTTGCGTGAAGGAACTAGTCAATCTACAGTACCTATAAGATCTAATCACATACATATGCACTAATGAAATCAAATGAAGATGGGTAGATATTTCCTTTGTATATAATTATTGATGAATCACCTGAGCAGCAAGATATGAAAGGTATCTTCTTCTGTGACTGTGTTGAAATTCCATCACCTAAAATCATTTTGTATGGGAAAATCTACAATGTGTTTTATGTGGTATGTTCATCAACCAACTCATGAATTGCAAAATTTACTCACTCCTGTTGTAATATTCTTCATGGATGATCCCTTATACATTATTATTTTATTCATTGTATTTTCAGATGTCTCATAAGTGTGAACAACATCAAAAGATATTACCGCAAGTTTTTAAAAGTAACAATTTTTTTCATGACAAGAACACCTACTAATTGTCACCTAGAACATTAATAATAATTTACCTGAATCAGTTGCTGGGTGTTTTTCTTTGCTAGTTCTACAACATTGGTAAAAAAGATCTGAACATCTGGTCCCATCTGTGAGAATTGTAATATATAATGTAAAAGAACCCTCATTTTGCAGGAAAGCATTGTAACAATCATTTTAAAAATATAATTGAAAATCACCTTTGCTGACAGAGGAATGGCATTGACATTGGTTGAGCCACACATTTGACATTTTGGTTTTGTTGCTGCAATATTAAAATTTCCTTATTTCATTAATTTGTTCACCAAACTATACTAAATTTAAAATTAAACCTACATGAAAATATTGTTTCAACACATTCAACAAATATTTGTAAACATGGTAAAGGACATTGTATCCAAAATGAATACTTCTGCAATGGATGTACATAAACATTTTTTTTTACCATTGTTTATACAGTTGTCACAGTAAATATGCCCACATGTAGTCAGTCTAAACTGAAGGAGTGCATTCACTGGTCGAAGAAAACAATTGTTGCAATGGATCCAATCTCCCATCTTTTAAAAAGACAAACAAAAATTATTCATCAGTATATTATATTTAGAATACTTGTAGGCCAATAAATAGTATATCGTGGACACTCAAGCCACCACCAGTAAGTATATATAATCTATATAGGATAAACACATCTAATTACTAATATTTTATAACTTAATGTTACGATTTATAATCGTAATAATGGTTTACTTATTACCGAATAAAAGAAAAAACAGCTTACCTTTAAAATTTTGGTTTATAGATTTGTAGGCTACATCATCTTTTTCGAAACTTCCCGCGCCTGCGCTTTTGTGAGGATAAGTTGAGTTTCGTAGGACTATTATATAAATTTTTATTCTCTTAAATTCTCATGAAAGTTTTGAAATAAATGTATATTTCCGAAAAATAAACCAGGGAAAGAAGACTTCAAATATCGTGATAGTAATGTAAAACAAATATTCCCGGAATTTTCCTTTTTGCACAAAAAGTTTAAAATTACCGTTCGTTCTTTATTTCCTACATGTATTATTTACAATAGCTTTTTAGAATATTCATTTTATAGGGTACGTATTGTTTTGTATTAAACTGTTCTTGTTGTACTAATCTTTTTGTTAAGAACATGTAAAAATAGATATATAAACACGCATTATGATATGCATTCACTCTCAAGATATCTGTTAATTACTCCAAATTTGCAATTAACTACGTTGGGGTCGTTTTTTGGCACAGCATAGAGGACAGTATTCAGGACAGTTATAACCAGCAGACATCAGGTGCATGATATTCATTACTTTTAAATAAGCAGATCAATTTATTTTGTGAAAAAGTTTGGAGTTAAATTGAAATATTAGCTTTGCGCACATTGTGTTAATCTGTATACCAGAAATATGCTGTCATTTCCTCTTAAATTGTGTTCGTGGCAACGTTCTCTGCAACTCATGTTTGATTGTAGGCAATTTAAATATGGTGTACTTTCAAATTATTAATATGGTTTTTCCCTTTGCTCAGAGAATGTATTTCTGCAAACCTTATTTGGTTTCTGGCCATAAATTTATTAATATCCTTTTCTATGTATTTTTAATGACAGAAAGGCAGTTCATTATTTATACACTTATGCACTGCATATGGTTGAGATTAAGAAAATTCATAATGAATTTTGTTTGTTTGTTTGTTTTTCAGGTACAATGACAGGAAAATTCCAGTTTGCAATAGACAGAGGAGGAACATTTACGGACATCTGGGCCAGGTGCCCAGGAGGTGAAATTAAAGTAATGAAACTTCTGTCCGAGGATCCACAGAATTACAAAGATGCTCCAAGGGAAGGAATAAGAAGACTTTTAGAACAGGTACTATACATCATATAAATTCTTAATTGATTTTAAATGTACAAATGTAGTATGTATAGCAAGTTTAAATTTTAATCCTGTAGTTTAAATCTTCCTTTCTTTAAATTTCAACAATTTGACCCTGTGCTACTAAAACTCTCATTTCTTCACATACAGAAGACAGGTATCAAAATGAGTGCAGATAAACCAATCGATACATCTTACATTGATTGGATACGAATGGGCACCACTGTAGCCACCAATGCACTGCTAGAGCGAAAAGGTGAACCTATGGCACTGGCTATCACCAAGGGCTTCAAGGATTTGTTGTACATAGGAAACCAAGCTAGACCTCAGATATTTGATCTTGTATGTACATGTATATACTTGACTTAGAACTGTAAACCAGCTATTATTGGCGACAACTTTTATTTGCAATTTGTCAGTTTGAAATCAATCCACAATGGTTAATTTTCATGAATGAGGAAACACATAAAACTTAATGGAATCAATGGTTTGCAGGGAGAAATATTCGCGAGTAAAAGAAGGTCACAAATCTCACGGAAATTTCTTGCACAAGAATAGAAGTTGGTTTACAATATCTGCTTGCTTTCCGTTTCTTTCTTAGTTAATTTGAGAAAAATGACAAGTGCATGAATTCTATATTATACAAAACATTAAACAATTATCATCTTTGATATACATGATATAAAATATTTTTCAAAGGAAATATCTGCTCCTGATCAGCTATACAGTGACATTATAGAAGTGGAAGAGAGAGCAGTATTCCAGCAAGATAAATGCCAAATCAATAAGTCATGTGACAGGGTTACAGGGGTCACAGGGGAAAAGGTAAAGCCTTAGTAATTTAGAAGAAGCTCAAAAATATTGAAACAGATGTATAATTTTATTTTGGTTACTATAATTTATAAGAAAAATGTATAAAAACCTTTTTTTAGTTGGAGATATGGCAGAAAGTGGACACAGAGAAACTAAAAAGAGATTTGCAGGCCCTACTGGACAAGGGAATTCGAAGTCTTGCTGTGGTTTTACTTCACTCATACACGTAAAGATTTCCTTAACTTAAACACAATATTACACTTAGAAATCTTAAAACATGAAAGATTTTTGAAAAATAACAAAACAAATGCCTGTTTTATCTTTGTCAGAAGCAGAGCTTCTATAAATTATCTCATAATATATGTCAAAAGCAGAGCTTCTAAAAAATCATCTCAAAAATTTTGTTGAAGGCAAAAAAGTTCTTCTTAAGTGATGCATATAATTTTATCATAGGTGTCAAATTGTTTCAGGTTCACGGAGCATGAGAAGGAAGTGGGCAGAATTGCACAAGAAATGGGGTTCCACCAGGTGTCTCTGTCCTCTGATGTTATGTCCATGGTGAGAGTGGTTCCAAGAGGTTACACAGGTAAATATCTTTAAATTCCCAAACATACATAATGAACAGTAAATACTAATTGAATACTGTGGAATCATTAGATTTCGTGGTGGCTCATTTTTCGAGGAATTTGTGGGTTCCTCTCATCCACAAATTAACATCCTCCTTGAATGAATAAACTATGGTTACAAAGTCATATTTCCTTTTGTAGGTATAGGAGAGTACAGAAAATTACATCCCCAAGAACCTGTAAAATTTAAGAAATCCACAAAATTTGCCCCTGCTCCATCCTGCACCCCCACAAATTTTAATGATTCCACAGTATTTGGGAGTAGATAGTAGTTGAGGCATTTAATTTGATCATATTTATGAAATGAACCAAGGTTTTTTATTTACATTCCAGCCTGTGCAGATGCCTATTTGACACCTCATATTAAGAAATATGTAGCAGGATTTGCATCTGGTTTTAAAGACAACATTCAGGTTTGACTTAAGATAAGAGTTCTGATAGAAATTATATTTTAATTATGTTTACTTGTAGTTAGGTTTGGAATCTGTTTTTGTTGCATTGGATGTTTATATTCTTTTTAGAACACATCAGTTCTTTTCATGCAGTCAGATGGAGGTCTAACTCCAGTTGATAAGTATGAAATAATTTGAAGACTGTAATATTTTGTTCATTTCAGACTCTCTCTCTCTCTCTCTCTCTCTAGTCACAAAGTCATCTTTGTTCCAGATTTAATGGATCCAGAGCAATATTGTCTGGCCCAGCTGGGGGAGTTGTTGGTTATGCCTTAACAACTTACAACCAAGAAACTAAACAAGCTGTCATAGGCTTTGACATGGGAGGTATGTTATTTTGACAAGGGAGGTATGTTATTTTGACATGGGAGGTAGGTTATTTTGACATGGGAAGTATATTATTTTGACTTAAGAGGTATGTTATTTCGAAGTGTGAGAGGTACATATATGTTAATTTGACATGGGGGGTAAGTTGATTTGACATGGAAGGGAAGTTGTTTTGATATAGAAGGTATATTACAACATGAGCTACATGTACGTAACATGGAGGTTTCTTACTTACACATAGAAATTTGTTACTTTGACATGGAAAATTTTTATACGTGTATAAAAATGTACATGACTTTAATATAGGATATGTTTTAATTTCTTACTTAAATATATAAGGTGTGGTACTTGTGATAATATGATGATATACATTGATGATGTTGTAGGGACCTCAACAGATGTCAGCAGGTATGCTGGTCAGTATGAACATGTGTTTGAAACCACAACGGCTGGAGTCACCATTCAGGCCCCTCAGGTTTACATTAACACTGAACTAGTGTTCATTTTATTATCAGCTCTATTTTATCTGAAATATGATTAAGATTCAAAGCATTATTTTTTGTTTTGAGTTTACCATATATATTTGAAAACAATTTGAAGAGTTAAATTTAATATTGTTCATACATGTACTGTAATCTATTACACAGAATGTAAGTGTTTTTACTCTTTTCTCTATAGCCCTCAGTGGCCTTCATTGATGAATTTAAAATTTGAGAGTAGCAAAATAAGATTTCTTTATATTTACAAGTGATCAAAATCTTTTTATTTATTTATTTTTTTTTTTGTTGTTGTGGGGGGGGGGGGGGGAGGGGATAACACTACTGGTCAGTATGACAAGAAAACAGTTTGAATACTACTGTACATGTACATAAATTGGCACATTCAAAATTTAGCGCAATCACTGGGTATGGAGTTGTTGGTGAAATCATGAATTAGCGCTATACATTTCCATGCCGTATGTTGTATTTATAAATGATTTCTTAGCGGTATTTATGAATTAGCACATTGTTGTCTGCACCAAAGCCGCTAAAATATGAAGCCCACTTTTTGAAGTACACATCCAGTATTTCATCTGATTCAGATCCAAACATGTTAATGAAATCTGAAAGGAACTTGAATAGAAATTAGGATCATCACTGTTACATTTCAGCTGGATATAAACACGGTGGCAGCAGGTGGTGGATCCATGCTTTTCTTCCGAGCGGGAATGTTTGTTGTTGGACCTGAGTCAGCGGGAGCAGATCCAGGCCCAGCATGCTACAAGAAGGGTAAACTTGAAAAATCTTACACAAACAAAATTTTACAATAAAATATACCAAGGTTATGTACAGTTGAATTTTGTTTTCAGAACTTTGATATCTCAAATACCATGCTATGTTGATGAAACCACTTTTTAGCTCACCTGAGCCAAAGGCTCAAGTGAGCTTTTCTGATTGAAATTTGTCCGTTGTCTGTCGTCGTTGTCGTAGTTGTCGTCAGGGCTCGAGCTGTGATTCGCCATTTGCGCCAATTGCGAATTTTTTCCAAAAGTGGCAAAAAGAAATTCAAAAGTGGCGAAAATGAATTTTTTTTTAGATATACCACACAAAAGTGTGTGTACTCCTGGTTATCTCCTTTGTTTATTCAATGTATACAGATTAGCCCTTTTGTTTATTTAATGCAAGCAGATGTGTGAATTCTGGGTGTGAAAACTCTATGAAACTTACAAAACAATGTACATGTAGGAAATCACGTCTCGCTTGAACGCACACAGCTGACTAGGTAACTTTAGCTAAGAGCAGTGAGGGGATACAAAATTACTTGAAATTATATAAGATGGATTAAACAAGGAAAGACAGAGTGTTTTGGGGAGATGAAGTTAGTTACTAAAAGATTTTAATCAATAAAATCTGGATCTATGTAGATTGTTTTTTAAAACCGAAAGTAGGAAAATATGACGAAAATTGCAGAGCATGGTTGCTAATTTTACCTGATTAAAGTCAAAATAGTATGTTCATTATACCATAAACTGATGAAGAGTGAAAAAGATACTGGCTTGGAAACAAAACAATACTTTGTCAATTACACTGAATTATTTTCAATTATATGAATTTATATGCATACACCCAGTGTCCAAGTTGTTAAATTAAGCCAAGTTTTAAACCTGACTTCTTTTCACAATAAATTGTTGATAAGATTAAAATTTTCACTTATTATATTATTTTTTTCATTTTTAAAAAAATGTCATATATCTTTACTAAGTCTGTAACCCCTCTTCCAGGGCTAAAAAAAATCTT